GTGCTCTCACTATATGTACACATGTGGCTTCAGTTGTACACAGTGTGCAGCTTCCAGTGTGTTATCTTCTAAGTGCAGACAGTCAAATTGACACCACCAGATATTACATGAGCTCATGTGATTTGCTGAGGCAGAGATTATCAATAATATTCCAACCTACCATTGCAACATTAATGCTATTTAGAAGTCTGGTAAGCATTGCTATTTGATTATTAAGGGTTCTTCCATCCCTCAGTGGTGCCTCACACATTGCCCACTCTTTGCTATTGGCCCTTCACTTCACCTGCATTGGCAGCTGAGATGTAAAAAGGCCCAAGCTTTGCTTTCTATTTTCCTAGTCAATTAATTTTCATAATAAAAGTAAATACAGTTCCTTATCTATTGTTAGTTTTTAATACCAATATGGTTTTTACAATGTCTCAAAAGAAAACAGAACCCCCCCCCAAAGAAAAATTACAGATGAAAGAAGATTGTTCAATGAAAAGTAGACAGATGACTACTTTTTCCTCAAGGCACACAGTAAGTAAGCCACATTTGTAGGAAATCTGTGCTAGTTTTCAAAGACTATAATTTGAAAAGGCATTATATGCAAAAACATACTGCCAGATTTGATGCCCACAGAGGAGTATGTTCTAAAGACTAAGCAGCAGTACCAAAAAAGAGCATGTATTGTCAATGTATTCTCAACAAAAGCACATGTAGTGAGAACAAGATGGTGTCTGTCAGGCTAGGGCAGACATGGCACAGCTAGCCTGGTTGTTTTAGGTCCTAGTGATCTTCACCTCCTGTCTGTCATTCTTACTGTTTTGTAAATTTAACTCCCACCCTAAAGATGCCATCTTGAAGAGTTTAGGAATTAACTTTTGAATTGAAAATATTGTAATATATTGTCACTGAGTTGTGCTGATTATTACTTAAAATAGAAGTTATCATGGTCTTTATTGTGAACCATTATGTATAAAACTATAATTTGGAAAAGGAAGAACAGAACAATCTTGGACAGGCTACTCTCACTATTCTTCAGGATCACCAGTCTTCTGACAAAGTTTGGTAGACCTAAAAAAAAAAA